AGATAAAAACGTTTTTACAAATAAATCTTAAACACCTTCCAAGTGTGTCTGAGAATAGAATCATGAGAGAACCAAGGAGCCAGAAGGAGAGGACAAAGCCAGGACATATGCTCCACAGCTGTGTTTCTCAACTTTTTTCAATCAGGAGAGCATTCTGCCTTTTCTAAACAAAAGGAAAGCTCGTGGACTACCTTGTGCCCCATGTACTTTGTCAGCTGTAAATGAGTAAGGGCTAAACAAAACCTCATGCCTGCCTAGAGAGGCAATTAAAATGTTTTGGGTTTACCAAAATTATAAGGTGATCGTTATAACTATCGATAACTAATGGAAAATGTAATTAATAGAAAAGCAAATGTGATCCCCTTTCTGCAGATCAGTAACAGATCCTGCAGGTATCAGTACTGCCATGCTAACCCAGCAAGCATTTCCTTCTCCACCTGATGCCTACTGCCAGCTCTTTGGGCAGGGTCTCTTTTCTGTTCTGTGGCTGCTCAGGGCACATAAAGCAAGCCCCTGGCTCTGCTCTCCTTCCCCAAGGCATGCTGCTTGCAAATAAATATATCCGGAAAAGTGGCTGAAACCTCATGTAAGTGATACCTGGGACTTCTCAAAATACGAGGAGATTTAATGGCTGCACTGCTTGAATCAACCTGGACAGGGATTCGATGACCCCTTTTATTTTTTGCTTTTTTTTGCTTTTCTCATGGAACATGCCCCAAAAACATGGTACTAATGATGCATTCTGAGAAATTTGGGAGATTTCTCATGGCTTACAAGCTGATACAGGAAAAGAAAGGGAAGAAAAATGCATAGCAAAAGGGAGAATATGTCAATTCAGAGCTTCAGCATCAATGGACTTAATCAGACTCCCACATACAGGAAGGGTGACAAGCAGCTGTTATGTGCTTTTACTGCATATTCCATACTTCCAGATGGGACAGTAATATAGAAGAGGATGAGGAAAGTCCATCTGAACAAGGCAGGCGAAGCCCAGCACTCTTCAGAGCCAACAGAAAAGCTACAATATATTTTTCCCATCAGCAAGAGGTTTCCCCATACTCTCACTGCAAGCTCTGCTCTCTGGGAATCATCACCTCTTTGATTGAGAAACAGAATTTAACCTGTTGCCCAAAATCTGGGTTTTGATAGCCAGCAGCAAAGAATCCAAACCAGGGTAAACAAGGGGCATTAGACTTGGAGCAAGGATGTTCTGGGAGTGCTGCCCAGCAGGAAGGACAGCAACAAAACTACAGCTACCTTTGAGATGCAGCTTGATCCATGTACATGTGTGAGCCACAGCATTCCTCCCGGTCCCATGTTCATGTGTTCCTAGTACTTTTATTTATGGAGAAGGGATGGCTATTGTCTGTTGCTGCATCACACAGGAAAGTCTCTCTTGGAGAAGCAGGCCGTAAAGGTAAATACTTATCCAGACATCAAAAGATAGTGCTTCTCTGTATGAGTCGCCACAAGAGAGAGAGACCTGCTGGAAAGACATCTCTCCCAGAATTACCCTTCCCAAGTAATGAAGATGAGACACCTACTGAGACTGAGGTGTCAGGAGAGCAGATGCTGGAACAAACTGCTAAAGAATAACAAATCGTTGCCTGCCTGGTGTACCATGTACATCCAGGAGGTCTGTAGGGGTCTGGGATGGAAGTGGCTGAGCTGCTGAAAACATGACTTCTCTCATTAAAATCAGCTGTTCTGCTGGAGTAATGAAGGGTAGCCAAAGCTGTAAGTTGTTCTAAAAAAGGCATGTGGGGTGATCTGGGAAGTCACAGACCACTGAGCTTTACTTTGAATCAGGTAAATTGGTTGAATTATCAAGTAAAATTAGAAACACGGGAAAGGACTGGCACAAAGAAGTCATTTCATTTTGCTCCAGTGTCCTTGCCCTCTTTTCCACTGCCCCCTTGTACCTTAAAAGATCCCTTAATTCTCCCGAAGTCTTCTGCCTACCTCATTCCCCTTTTTTTTTTGTGTGTGTGGCTATATCCTACAGAAAACTGCTTTTCATCCTCCCACATTCCACCTACTGCTGTCCTGGGAAAAACTGCATAAGCAAAATATTTGTATTTATTCCTGTACTAACTGTATTTCCATTGTGGGCACTACAACAAAAGAGAGTAGCAGAAATTATGCCTGATGTCCTGGTATTCCAGCATCAGTCCCTCACTTGTCCCAGTCTTAACAGATGAGAACTGGCAGCTGACCGACTTGTGCCATGAGAAGGGCCATACAACAGTCTGTAAGGACATTATAGCAAAGAGTTTACTACTTCAACCCTTATAGGATGCCTGGTCCAGATGGAGCCTTAGGGTGCAAAGAAAGGCCGGCTGATCTCTTCTGTTTCCTTGGCAAGATACACAGAAAAGAATGATCCAGCAGGTGTCTTGGTTCTGTGCCTAGAAGCTTTTACCTCAGAAATAAGCATTCCCATCCATTCCCCCTCCCCACTGATTTGGGACTTTCACTTATCTTGCAGCACAACTCCTTTTTGTGAACCTGTAGTAGGGAGGAAGCAGCAGCCTTCCAAAGATGTTGGCCAAGGTATGGCCAGGCTATAGAAAACGCAGCCAGGATGAGGCAAGCCAGGAGCAGAGCAGCTGATAAATACAGAGTAACCTCCACTGCAGGAATGAAGAGCAGTTGACCTTGACGCAAAGACAGGAACCAGCACAGGATCCTTATGGGGCAGCCAGGCAGTGCAGCTAGGTTCCTACCTGAGGGTAAGCATCAGAGGCCAGAGGCAGAGGGCTCCCAACCAGGAGGGCCTAAAGCTGAGGACTGCATCCTGCACTAACCTATGCCGGAGGCACGGAGACGCAGAGGCACTCGGTCTGCACCTGATGTGCCCTGGAGGTGCACAGACAGACACTACTACAGTTTCATTCTGTTTACCATGAGTATTTGCAAGTCTAACCATTCTTGCCTAGTGATTAACAACTTTTAGATTAGTTTAAGATCACAGAGCCTAATTAACACACATTACTTTGTCAGGTTTGTTTTTGGTACTGCGATTACTCCAGAAAATCACTTTACTTGAGCAGAAACTTAACAAGTTACCAGTTTTAACAGTTTTTATTGCTCAGGTAGAGCACATAGGATTTTTGCCTAATGCCTCTTAATGCAGTCCAGTGCCTGGAAACCCCACCCCAAAGAAGACAAGAAAGGGCCACGCTGATCCCGTATTACTTTATCTAGTTTGCACATTAATTTTCTAAGTACTTAAAGTTTCTTGCACCTAATTCTGTAAGCACCTAATGTCACTAAGTAGTGACATTAATGAACACATTAGACTATAATTCATACCAATTACCCGTATCACTTTCATTAAACTCACTTCAGTGTTTACTTGGATACTACCATAGTTAAATTGTTATTATAATTCCTCTACAGATTTTGTTAACATTCTAACTTAACAATTTTCATAATTATAATGACTTTGTTTTCTTTTCTAACTTAGAAATCAGAGCCCCAGAATTTTTCTGAGGGGACATTACCTTCCATGCATCCAGATGATGGCAATACAATTCACTTTTAATCAAGCTCCTTAGGTCTAAATTTGCCTTTTTGGACTTGTGGAAAATTAAAACACCTTTTGCAAGGTCATTGCAATGCTTCTTTTTCACTTTAGTCCCAGGTCCAAGTGGATATTACGATTCATAAAGCTTATGGCCATTAGGGCCTGGGAACTGAAGCATCTGTGTGCTTCCCTCTGAGACATCGTGCACCTGACGCCCCACTAATCCCCAAGAGGCCTGGTGCACCACGGCACCGAACAGCTATAATTACCTCTGGAAGCCAGCTGCCACTCAAGTGACAGTGAAACCTGCAGAGCCATTCCCCCCAGCCCACACCGCTGAGCACTTGGACCATTTGAATACAATATTAAATAGAACAAGACACGGGCAATATGTTATTTTTGCGAAGCTGAGCTTGTCACATTTGCAAAATTAATATGGTGTGGCAGGAGATGAAAGGGCCACCTTCTCTGCAGAGCTCTCGTGTCTACGGAGCCAGACAGTGTGAGCCCATGAACGAAGTGCCTAGCTTTGTAAAACCATCAGGTTTTCAGACTCGAAGGGCAATCAGCAGCACACTCCAAGTCCTCTGAGATAAGCAGAAGATGAGAATGCAGTGACAGAATGGGTGAAAAAAGGCATTTCCTACCATGCCTAAGCAAAGCTTTTTTAGGTCTCACTGGAGCACTGCACCAACAGGCCTCTGAGTCTTGTTGAAGGTCCTAGGCCCTAACAGTGCAGCAAACCACGAGTACCTAGAAAGCAAAGAGCACTGGCAGCCTCTAGGAGATGCTCTTTCTGGGACCTCTGTACAATGTTACGTAAATTTTATTATCGTTCCTCCTGTGTGATCCCTGCACTCCACATGTAATTGGGAGGACTGAGTGCCAGCTCCAAGGACCTTAACAGCCTAAGTGACAGCTAAGTCCTTGCTGCTGTTCAAAGTGGGTTGCTTTCTGGGCAAATTTACTTTTTCTTTGAAAGGAAGGAAATACTTAGGATATAAGAAAAAAAAAAAAAAAGGAAGAAAAAAAAGAAAAAAATGTATCTTCTTTGTCTTCTTTGCAAAGCAAGCTGAATTCCCTTGGTAAATACCAGTATTACCATTTTGTTTCTTTTGTCCTTCCTTCAACAGAAGTTAAACTTACCCATTTTCTCCCTGCAGTGTTCTCCTCTACAGAAGATATGGCTTAAGACATCACTTCCAGATCAGAACTTCATCTGAACAGGCCCTCCCAATAAAATGCCCAGCAGAAATTGGAAGGAAGCATGGCATCTTCTTTTGACAGTTGTTCAAGGAAGGTGCATTTATGCATACATACGCGTACATATGTGCAGTACTGCATGGGTGCCAGCCACCTCATATATTCCCAGGACAGAAAGGGGACAGTCAGTATTGGTAGAGTCCACCCTGAGCCTTAAATCTGACCAGGAAAGAGTTTTTAAAGGAAACATGGGAGCTCTTCAGTTTACCTGCCCCATTTAAACTTGACCTTCTTGGTGGAAAGCCCGTTGACTGTGTAACACTGCCCACGCAGCACAGAGCTGTCCAGAAGCAACTTTGCAAGCCAGGACAAACAGCAGGCTTTTCTTTCCTCCCGTCTAAGCATAAGGTGGAGTCAGCGACCTTCTCTTCATCCCACCTGAGAGTCCTCCTGGGGAAAGAGAGAGGCCATTTTAAGAAAGGGAAGGTACGCTGGGAATCCCGCTGAGTGACAGGGAACAGTTCTACAGCAATTGCTTTGTTTAAAATGCAAAATGTGGATGTGTTTAGAGGACATATCAGCATCAATCACTGTATGCAAATACTGCCTGTGGAGAAGAGCTTCCCCTGTAAGTCACTCCTCACTGCCCTAATCGAGTTAGCGCTACTGACTGAGGGCATGTCGAACGCTGATGGGCTGCTGATAGCACCGTCCCGGGAGAAGATTAATAAAAGGCAGCAGGAGCGCTTAGTTCGACCAGGGCACAAAGTGAGAGGGGGAGCTGAGGGGGGAGGACAACGGTATCTTTATTTTTTGAAATCATTGTCCATTACCGCAGGCAAAAAAAAAAAAAAAAAAAAAAAGAGCAGCAAAACCTTGCAGCCCTCTTCCACAACCACCAGCAGGCTTGTGGAGGGAGGTCAGCATGGATGACGTACGCTGACACGGACAGGAGACCCTGCTGACTTGCAGTCTGTAGCTCCCTTCACAGAGGCACGTGGGTTCACAAATAAAGGTAAGTAAAGCAACTATGCTGCTATTAAGCTTAGAACTAACATAACTAGGGCAAATAGAGTTTTACAGAGAAACACTGCAAGGATTTACTTGAAGGAGAAGGAAGACACACAGGCCCTGGCAGTCATCGAGGAAAAAACACCCCACTGCTCCTGTGCCAGCTCTTCGAGGCTGGTGCTAGCAACTCTGCAATGCCCACAGGCAGTGCCCAGCATGGTGACAGCGTAAGACCCAGCGCTGGGCTCCCTGTGACGGCACAGGACTGGTTTCAGGAGCTGGTGGTCTCTAAGCACTGAAGGCAAGGCCCCAACCTGAGCGAGGAGTTACAGCTACAAGCAAACTTCTCTGGCAAATGCAGCCCCTGGCACTTGCTGGCAGATGTACTTTAAGTATTGTTAATGATAGTCATTAGCATCATTCCCTCCTCTCCTCAGCAGCCAGGGAAGTAGAAGAGTAGGGAGGGTGCAAATGTTCTCAATCTTCTCTCAGTGCTGGGAGCAGAAAAAGAATGGAGCGCTATGAGTTGGGCTCCTTTTGAGTCATCCACTGAAACCCTCTCTTCCCAGTCAACTCTTAAGCTTTCTGTCTCACCACCATCTCTTAGCCTCCCTCATCGGCACCTTTGATCCATCACCCTCACTTGCCTTCTGCACGAACTTGTTGCTAACAGGGTTTCCCTCTTGTCATAGCCTCTTGTTGCAAAGACTTCTGCCCTGAGTAACTGCCCCACCACATCTGCCCCCTTGTTAGGGTTTAAGCCAGCAGGCAGCTAAGCACCACACGGGCACATAGTGCTCCCAGTGGGATGGGGGAGAGATTCAGGGGGAAAAAGGGTAAAAACTCATGGGTTGAGATAGTTTACTAGGACAGAAAAGGAAGATTATTATTAATAATAATAGTAATAATAATAGAACATACAAAGCAAGTGATGCACAATGCAGTTACTCACCACCCACTGACCGATGCCCATCCCATCCCTGAGCAGTGGTTCCTCCCACCCTGGCCACTCACCCCATATAATTGCTCAGCGTGATGCCATACGATATGGAAAAACCCTGCAGCCAGTTTGGGACAGCTGTGCTGGCTCTGTCCCCTTCCAGCTCCTGGTGCACCCCCAGCCTCCCCGCTGGCATGGCAGTACCAGTGAGAAGCTAGAAAGTCCTTGGCTCTGTGTTAGCACTGCTCTGCTACAACTAAACCATCAGTGCGTTATCAGCATTATTATCCTAAATCCAAAATACAGCACCATACCAGCTACTAGGAGGAAAATTAACTCTATCCTAGCTGAATCCAGGACACCTCCTCAGAATTTGACTTATTGTCCCATGATTCCTGTACATCTGAGTTACTGCCAGCTCCTTAGAGAATGGAAATCTTCTCTTTTATGTATCTGTGAAGTGCTCAGAGCACTTATATTGCTCTATAAATAAGGATAATAAGAATCTAATGCTGACAGCTCCAACAGATGCATAGGATAAAGCCTGCCCATGGAGTGAGATCATTCTGCTTACTGGAAGATTTCATACCAAACAAGCTCCTACCCGAAGTCCAATACCTATCAAAGCCCTTCTGAGCACAGCAAGAGCAAAGCTGTTCCTTCTGCAAGCAGTCTTATCATTGCGGCCTGGCTCTCCAAGACAGGCCGAGGAATCCCATACAGGGTGCACACAATATTTCTGGAAACACAGTGCAATGTTTCTAGGCTTCTAGAGATGAGATGCATCACTACTACTCAGTCAAGAGTGAGGCAGGAGAGGCAGGAGAAAAATCATTTTGGCACAGTTCGTGGTTACACCACAAATGTTAGCAATATGTTGCATACCTCCAGCTCCAATCTACATTTTTGTCAACTTCAGGTTGTTGTTACCTGAAATCACTGCCAGAGAAAACAAGGTGAGTGCTGTCTTCATTCCTCACCTCATCATCTCCAAGTCCCAACAGATGCTTCTCTTTGCCTCTGAGTTACTTCAGCTTGCCCACAGAAACTGATGGGCCACTGATCTGCACTTAGAGGGCTGCTTCTGTATCATTTGGAGGCCTGAATATAAGACTGAATAAGACAGGATACTCCTTCAGTCATTTTCTACCCCTACATATTCCACAGCTCTGGCTATGGAATATTCCAGGCATGCTACATCCCAGGCAGTTTTGAGGGTCTTACACTATCTGAAGAGCCGGGAGTTTGCACACTGCATCCCTCTCTCCATCTGTAGCATTAGAAAACTTAAGATCTTCCAAAGGCATCACCTGCATAGGAGTTCTCCGTATTCAGGACCAGCTACCATCGCTATGGGATGACCAACTATCAAGTAAGCTTACTATCAGCTCTTCAGTCCATAATTGAAGTTGTTTCTCCAAAGCTCAAGGGCTAAAAACCAGTCAAACCATCATCATCAGTCACAGCATCATCGTCAGTCACAGCATCATCATCAGTCTCTTCAGGGAGCAGAAAGGATGCTTCTTCTTTTCTAGTACCCAGGGGAAATACAGCTTGTTCCTACGATACAAGCTGTTTCCCTACCTGGACAATAGCAGAAAGCAGGGGAGTCGAAAACCTGGAACAGACAGAGGGCGGGTGAGCAGTGGGTTCTGGCTTTACAATAGGATGATAAATGATAACAGCATTAGGAACAAAACCAAACATCCTTCATGCTGTCAGAGCAATGATGCCAGCACATAACAAGATGTGGGCACAGGGCAGTGTGGTTGCTTTCCAGAGAAGCACACAGCTACCAGGTTACTTCTGCTCTGAGCCAATGGGTTCCTGCAGAAGAGGGCACGGGACAAAGGGGAAGTTATTTCTCTACACTTAGCTAAGAACCTCAGATGCTCCACAGCACATTGAACTCAATAGGCAGGGGCAAGTCAGTGCTGGATGCCAGCGCAGAATAGTTACAAGAGGATGTGCAGTAGAGAGCTCTAGATGATCATGGGCTTCTTCTCACGCTGTCTTAGTAGTTACCCAAGGGTACTGTGAGGGCACTGCAGAGCAAGGTGATGGCATTGGGGCCCTAACATAGAAAGGAGAGAGAAGTCCAGAAGATGAGGGCCACAGCAACAAATATGCTTCACAATACTCCCTCAGGTTCAGGATCCCCAGAGAACTTTGCCATCAATCCCTCAGATAAGAACAAAAATCCCTTCCCGGGGCTTACCCCATCTTCACAGGAGGAGGTCACCAGCGCAAAAGCAGTAGCTGGTGAAGGGAGAGATGCCAAATCACCTCTGTCAGTCTTTGTGAGGAGCAGGCTCAGTGAGTTATTATCCTGCTCAATGCAGCTGCCCTCCTGTTTTTGTTGTAACCCACAACTTGGCAGTGACGAAAAGATTTATGGCAAGGGTAGAGTCACGAATGGGATGGGGCAGGCTGGTCATGCCTGGTTTTGCTTTTACCAGCTCTCCCTCACCTCTTTGCCAGGGACACAGAAACTTAAGCAACATGAATTGCCTTGCTAAAGTCAGCCTACACTCAAAAGCATCAGCAAAATGGGAAAAAACGTGAGCGTTCAGAAGAAAAAGCCAGGTATGAACAACGTATGTCCTGTGAAAAAAAATGCAACAGAAAATACAAATCCAGCCTGGAAGAAGGCATTAGAAAGGAACATGCAAATTAATACACCAGATAGAACTGAGCACAGCTGTGTAACTCTGAAATCATCTACTGAAGTCCTTAAATATAGCATCATGATCAGTAGGGTGAATGAATCTCACCTTCCTACTGATTTCTGCCGTGTGCTGAATTTACTGTGCTGCATGTAAACGTGTATGAACTCCAATCAGGGTTTTTCCCACTGTTAGGACATTCGTGCACCCCTTTTAAAGGACTGCCTTTTGTCTGTCTAGCAAAGGGTGAGGTTGGAAATGTTATTCCAAAGCACACACTGAAAAGTCTTCTTCCCTGTCCAGGGAACTTCTTAGGGCCCAGCACATTTAAGATTTCTGAATCTCTTTCAGTAAATCCATTTGGGATAACAGATTCAAAACTTATTGTTGGGAATGAGAGAAAAACTATAGACAGATTGACAGTCACAGACAGACAGCTCGATCACTTAAGCCTTTTTTCACTTGGAAATAAGTCTTGAAGGAATTAAGGCTGTTTTTAGATCTACTGGAAACAGAAAGTTTTCCAGAAAATTTGTGGCTCTTTGAATTATGAGAGGATTTGCATTATGAGAGGGAGATTAAAGAAGACAATTACACTGCAAGAAGGCAGCACTATTTCTTTGGCACCGAGAATTACGAGCAGAGATCCAACTTGGAATTATTCTTTTCAGAAGATAAGGATGAAGCTTGGAAAGAGCAAGACTTGCAGTAGGAAGAGCTGGAAAAAATAATAAATTGAAAAGGAACAATCTCCCAGGATTTTATGTCATTTGTTTGGGACCCCTGAAGGAAATGATGAATAGAGCAGCCTTGCTGTTAATACAAAGCCAATTATTATATCAATAGACTTCGCTGCTCTACAGAGTGAATACCAGCCACCTACGCAGCTTCTACAGCACAGTAAAATGGCTGAGGTCCCTTGAATTAGTGAGGGCAAAATCAGGCCAACCCAAAGAGAAGAGCCTCCTCTGGCAACCTTGCTGGTCGTGTTCAGCATGCCTGTGCATTTCCCCACTGTTGGATATGTGCCCATTTTTCTAACAACTCCTGACCTTGTTATTCCAAAGAAGAATTAAGAACAATGAAGAAATCTCCTCTGCCAGAAACCTCAAGCTTTGAAATGGTTTGTTTTCTTTTCTGTATCCTGAGTAGCCTGTTCTAGTTCCCCTTCTGTGAATAAGCTTTCTCCCCAAGTCAAACTGGATGATTCAAACCCCATGCCTGACGTGGAAAGCTGTGGAAGTGTTACTGCACTAATACTGCCATTAGCTCTCGCACTGAAGAGCTTAGCAAGCTCCTGATCTGGAGGAGATGCAAGAAAGGAGTTGGAGAATAAGAAATATTGGTCCTGCTGGAGGGAGAGGTGACCTACCCTTACCATAAATAAAACAGTTCTGATGGGAGTCAAAGTCCAGGGTGAAACAGTTGTTTGGGGAATTAAGAAAAATCATCCAACTGTGCCTGAGAAAAAATTAGGATGTACAAAAACCAAAGCCATAAACCAAAAGCCAAAGCCATAAACTACAAATATGTTTTATCTCTCAATCATGACCTTATGGCAGCATTTTCCATCCAAGCACCAGTGCTCCCCTCCCAGGGACCGTATTCAGTCTTTGTCCACCCCCCAACTACTATTCCTGTGTCATTCCATGCTGGGTGGCTGTTCAAAGCCACATCCTCTCTACAGCCAAGCACTCAGATCTTCTAGTACCTGCCTACCTCTCAGTCCAGTTCTGGACCTTTCTTGTCATATGAAATAGGTTTTTAAGATGCATATTTAACTTGAAAGAATTTATATGCCACCGAGGAGAAATTCACACCCTCCCCCCAAATGAAAGAAAGAAGACATAAAATCCTGTCCTTGACTTAACCTCTTAGATGCACTGTCTCAGCTAGGATGGAATTCATTCAGCAAGGATTCATTGTAGCTTTATTTCCAAGGCACAAGTTACCAGTGCCCTACCCAGAGGCCAATTACAGCCTCCAGAACTATACAGCAATATGGGATAGCCTGGTGACCCTTTATACAATGCTCAGCTCCAACCACTCTTTGAGTTCTGTGGCACACCACATGGTTTCCTACGAAGGTTTCCTGGGTTGTACCGTTTTGTTCGGATATGGAGGACCTTTAATTTGTTGCATTGGGCCTTACCATCAATGCGCTCAGGAGCAAAGGACTGGGTTATAGTTCCAGCTATCTGCAAGGTCCACTCCACAAGGCAGCCTCCTTCACTGCATAGGTCTCCAGTAATTGTTGATCCCACAGGAGGTGCTGTGTACCCCACAGGAGCACACACAGGGTTAACATTCTTGAATTCCTGCCCAGAGACAAATGGTTTGTGTTGAGGAACTGCTGCTGGGAAGGAAGAAAAAAAAAAAAAAAGCCCCTTTTTTATTATTCCGAGGTGCATTTTAATTTGCACAAGCGACATTGTGTCTGTGATGGATTACACGAAGGGAAACATTACAGCCCAGCAAGCTCGGCAAGGAAAAAAATAAGGGAGATATGGGGAGGATTAAAAACAACCTATTGCAATGCAGAATTCTGATAAGGGGTCCATGGTGCCTTCAGAGCGGGAGCAGGTGGAGCTCAGAGTACTAAAAAAAAGAAGGGGCATGGTCTAGGGTGAGGGCAGGGGAAAGGTGGTGAGCGCACAGACTGGAAGAGACTTCTTGGTCATACAGTCCACCCTCTTCCTGCTACCAGCACCATCACAGGCGCCCTTTCATGAAAGATCATGCTCCATCTTAAAATTCATTCTGTTTCTTTTCCCTTGGAAGGATGTTCCAGAATCTCACTTCTCTGATGCTTAGAAACCTTCATTTAATTTACAGACTAATTTATTCTCAGACAGTTTATACCCATTTGTTCTTGTGCCAACATTGTCCTTAAGCTTAAATAGCTGTTCTCTCTCTTGAGGGTTTTGTGGCTTGATGTATTTATAGACAGAAATCATAGCCCCTCTTTCCTCATTTTGCCTGACTGAACTAGCAAAGCTCCTAAATCTTGTAAAACAGGCTTCCCGTATCACTGGCCATCCTAGTACCTTTGTGTGCTCTGTTCCAGTTCACACCCATCCTTCTGGGATATTGGTGGAATTGTATGTGCTATTTCGGGAGCAGCTGTAACAGGCCCTTGGACAATTGCACAATAGTTCCCCTTGTCTCCTGGAAGCACCTCTACACTGAAAATGCCTACCAGCTTCAGAGCTTCCACCAGCACCATGCCAATCGTATGGCCAAAGCCATTAATGGTTAGATCATTTCTGGAAAAGCCTCTTTCCAGCACAATACTTTGACTTTCATCACCACCTGTTGCTGTCCCCCCCTTCTCCCTTCTGATTCCTCCACTAATCTCCACGTGGCACCTTATCAGATGATTTTCTGAACTCACGATAAACAGGCTCTAGCCAGTTATCTTGTCAAGGCCAACTATCTCATTGCTTTTTATCCCAACTTCTGTTTTGCTTTTGCACAGGTCCTTTTCCTTCCTTTAAGAGTACAAAATTACTCTACAAGATAAAAAGAAATCCCTATTGCCTGTTAATGGTAAATGAGTTATGGCACTCAGGTAGGCAATTCTGTCCCCTTACTGGGGGGAGCAATGGTGATACTGTCTTATGTTTTCTTACTCACTCTTTGGAGTCTCAGCAGCATAACCAGCCTCTGAACTACTCCATTTTTTTTAGTCCAGTCTCTTTTTGTTTTGAATTAATGTAAAAAAGCATTTCTCCAGAGATATTAGTGCCTGGAATTAAAGATAGATTTCTAGCATTTAAGCATGGAGGCATTTAAAAATAATAAAAATGCAACTTGATATGTGGTCTGAGAAATGCCCTAGCACAGCAGAAGAGACTCAGGAAAGCAAGTTGAGTTAGGCAGCCTCTTGGTAAACCAAGGCACCACATTTTTGTACTGTGAATCACAGATTATTTGAAGTGACCACAATAAAGATTTATGAGTTAATTTATATGATGCGTCTTCTTATAAAAACCTAGGCATGTCCATAAAAAGGAATGAAAAAACCCCTCCCAGAACATCCCCATTAATAAGCACATAAATAAAGAGACCCAGGCTACTCCAAAGTCCGTCTAAGCTCCAGTTCAGAGTACTACTGAGCACCTGGAAACACCAGCAACTTCCCTGGAAGCTACACAGGTTCAAGATCTTTCCTAAGCAGAAGCTGAAAGCCTGTTGCCATAAAACCTGGAGGCTGTTTCTGCAGAAGAAAGAGATGAGCCCTGCTGGACTCCATAAGGTCAGTATAGCTGGGCTCTGATGCACAAAATGAATTGTTTCTGTTGAAAACACTTGGCCATCAGTGCATGTATGTGTATATGTGCATAGTGCAGTGTAAACACATATCTATTTGTTATTCCTGTGCTTCCATAAATTAAATGGTGGGTACAACTTTCTGAGATGGTGTGAGTACTTGAAGCCTAATGACTCCAACTCTAATGTGCTTAGGTTTTATAATGCTGTCATCACCTGTTGTGAATACAAACTCACCCAGGCCTCAGAAAATCATCTAATTTCTTGTGCCTTGCTACTTAGAACGGCTCTGCTGTTTAAATCCTGTCTGGTTCTGACTAATGCTGCGGGCACAATACAACCGTTCCCTTGCCTCCTGCCATGTGCCTTCTGGGAAGTCAGATCGCACCCTTTGGTTGGTAGCGGAGGAACAGCATCCTGCATCTTTCCCCGTGGCACCACTGCCTCAGTAGAACTACAAAGTAAAAGATCACACATGCTTTTATTTTCATTTCAGAGTCAGTAAGGTTAACTTAACATAACTGCTAACAAGAAGGTAACATACTCAGAGATGGTCTTCAAAAATGTATTTTTCTTTCTTTTTCTTTTTTCTTTTTTTTCCCCATTATCTGGGGCATCCCAGCCCTCTCTATTAATGAAAAGTTGACTGTGATCACGTTTCAGAGCAGAGATTAACTCTGCTACTCTAAGACTCTAGAAAGGTCAGTGTTAAGCCTGTATCTGTCATGTCACAGAAGTAAGAAATGCCAGTCAACTTCTAGAAAATGCTAAGCGAAATTTTTTAATAAAATAAAGAGTATTACCTCCAAAATCCATGAGTCTCTCTGTGCCTTTCTGTCCTTCTGGTTAAACCTTCTGCAATCAGACATCTTGCTGTATGCTTAAAGAAAATGTGTCCCTCCTTGTAAAATACATCAACTCCACTTTCTCTCCAAGGGGTGTCAGATGTGTTTCTTTAAACAAATTTATCACTGAAAAAGTATTCAGTACTATTTGGAAAATTCAGTGCCAGCTAATTAGCAATTGGCAAATAGGTGTTGCAGGATGGAGAGACTGAATGCAATAGATGAGTCATTCAAACCAAATGCTTTAGGCAGCCCAAGTATTAAGTCCATTTCCTTTTCATTGTTAGTGTCAGTGAAAAAAATAAAGTCTGAAATGGGCACCAGAGATTTCTTGTAGGCAGGCATTCTGAAATGCAGTCATTTCCCTCTTTTCCAGCACACCCTAAGTCCTGCCAGCTCCTTTCTCTTCTAAGCGAGGTGTAGGCAGCACAGCCTAATTGGTTTCCTCATGTGATGGACATATGAGGGAATCGGTTAAAGAGCTCTGTGATAACCTTCCTTGCAGAGATTTGTTTTCAAGACACACTGGATGTGGCAGGTAACATAAGCACAGCCTGGAGATCTCTCGAGAGGAGAAGGGTCCTTTATCGCAGTGATAGTATTGTAAACATCCAGTCCCCTCAGCAAGGTCCAGCATCCTTCTATGGAACGAAAAGGCAGTTCTCAGTCCTGTGCTGGTGTCACCCAGCTGGGCCTGCAGGGACAAACCTTCCCTCCTGACTCCTGAACAAAGTGCCTTCACAAGCAAGGTGACAGTACTGAGAACATGGCCATTGCTCCTGCCATAGTTGCTCTGAAGAAAAAGACTCAGGCACATCCTTTCCCCCCACATCAAATGTGGGTGTCAGAAAAATTATTCTACTCCAAATCCAATGGTTTTCTACCACTGAGGTGCTCTTGCTCCCAGCTAGAGGAGTCAGTATTGTTTTAAAGTGGGGAGAAGATGGCTGGTATCACACAGAGGACTGGGAGGTAGTGCAGAGAATGCAGCGACCTTGCTTTTCATCTCGTGTGAGCCCTGGGTATGTGGCCAAGGGGCAGGTATCTAACAGATTCAAAAGAAGGTGAGGTGGGCTGTGAGGCAGTCCCATGCAAGGCCAGAAGTTTCAGCTCCACAGCCTTATGCAACTCTGCCAGATTTCAGCCTACTCAACGTAATTTTCTGCCTCAGCTTGGAGCCTGCATGTTTACTTACTGCCTTGATACCTTAACAGTGTTTTCCCAGGAAAACATGAGCTACAGCATGTAAACAGTGATTTCCAGCAGTCAACTCTTGAAAATGACAAAAAAAAAGCCCTTTTTACAAGTTCTTTCCCTGTCAAATTTCATACTGCCATGAAACAGTGGAACTGTCAGAATATCTAAAAACTTAAGTTCAAAAAAGCTTGATTCAAGGCAATCTTATGTCAACACCTCTTTCTCAGAATGAAACTGCTGTGAAATAGCAGGGATTTCCAGGGAAAACTCTGAACGTTAAATCACTCACACAGGGTTTTTCAACAATGAGACAGCAGAGCAAGGTAGTGGATCTGTCATTTCAGTGTTCAATACATGCCAGGTCCTTGGGAGGAGCCAGCTGGAAGATTAATCAACTATCTAACCACAGTTCTAATATCATGTTCAAAAAATATAGGTCAAGCTTCAAGGATCTTTACCTAAAAGAGATGGTCAGTGCCACCAGCCTACTGGTGTGTTAGATGCTAACCCAGTGTCCATATGTCTGGGTAGAGTGAATCTCAGTTACCCTACATGTCACAGAAGTTATGAGTTAACTCCATGTGTAATGGATGGCTTTGCCAAGGTTCAGTCAAATCCTTTACATTATTAACAACAACAGTGTCAGGTTACGCTTACTGAAGAAGTCTCAAGACACACAAGACTTTTAGAGATTCTACCCAAAGCTTTGATGGGACAAAGCTTAGGTGCCCATGGGCTGCAGTCTTCCTGAAAATAATGAGTTCAAAGATTTTCTCTCACAAACTCTTTGGGTGCTCCCAGCCTCTCCCTAGCCTCCTAGAGAGCTGCACTGCCCCTACTTCTGCTGCACATTTCAGGAAATCTGACATGTAGAGCACATCACTGCACACTTTTCTGATGTGCTTAACAGTGCCTAGCATAGTACAGTCTTTCAGCCCACACGAAGATGCTGTAGGACTAAGCCAAATTTCCACCATCTCCAAGTAACTCTGTCTAGTGCATAGATTGCCCAGCCCAGAGTACACCGAGCTCGAAGTATCATTGGTCTTCAGGGTGATGTGGAGCAGTATAATTGATTACAGAGTTATATAGTGAGTGCCAGCAACTATTCTTTGCCTGACAGGACAGAGGGAGTGCATACAAACCATGTGGAATAGGAATGATTTGTGTCATGCTCAGTTAGGTCCTCTATTTCCTTATTGAAAGATGCCTGTGATTCTCCTTGATTCTCCCTACAAAATAACACTAGGGGGTTTAATGAATGAGAATAAAGTGGAAAAATGAGAACAAAGAGGATTTCCCTTGATCTTTCCCCCCAAAATAATAAAGATATACAGACAGACATGAATTGACATGTTCCCTTTGCCACCCTTGTTTTGCTGTAAATGCCTTATTGCAAGAAGCTGCCCTGTAATTAACTCGTTTTGTTTTACTGTGTAAGTATAAAGGCTATTGCTCCTTAGGTGGAGATGGCAATACCTGCTTCAGAGCATGCCAGCTATCTCCTTGCTCATGGGTTCTGGCACCAGCCAATTTCTCTGTGTGATTTATCACTTGGTAATCCATCTCCTCCATCCATTATCCTGCACAAAAATCAGCCCTGGACAGCAGTTTTCTCTGCAGCATAGAAGGCAGAGCTGTCACTTTGCCTGCCCTGTTCTCAGCAGGGCAAGGGAATTTTGTCTTTTCAGATTCAGTAAGCTTCATGGCAATCTGGCTGAATACCTCAACAGTGGAAATAAGAGCTCTGTGTACATTAGGCTGGAGTGATGACCTGCATAAACACTTCTCTTCAGTTGTGGTGGCTTTTCCAACTTAGGGCTTGCCAGCATGTATTTTTATGTAAGTTAGCCCCCCTGAACCTTTTTCATTTTCTGAAAGCTACTTAAGCATCAGTTAATTAAGCCTTCAAAAACTACCTGAATCAAACAAATCTGTTGCCTCCATGCTGAATTGACAAACATGACATAAAATGGTTTCAAATGCTCCAACTGTAGCTTATACAAACAGATAGTAAGCAATAAACTAGGTTGTGAAACAACATGAATAAGCAAAACAATGCATTATTGCATACCAATTTTTGATGTTTGAATTTTGTTTTAGGATTTTTAGGTATGCAATGCACATACAGATCCATCCAGCATCTAAACAGTGCACCAGACTTACAATACGCTAGAATACTGTAAATAAAAAATATTAACTTCTTTGTATTAGAAAGTTATAATTATATCAGTAAATTCAGCACATTCTCCTAAAGCTGACATTCATTTATTAGTACAAATTTGGGGTAAGATAATTTCATGTATGGAAACCATGAAGTCAACAAAAGTTTCTTGTTCAGACCTAGCCTAAATTACCAGGCTTTGGGACCCGATCAGTGCCTCTATATTTGTATGACAGCTAACTGGGAACTACTGCAAAGTAAATATTAGCACTGGTGAAGTATATGCAGAAAAATAACACTGAAAAAGAAATTAAAATTCTCCTGCCTGAAGCTGTGCAGCTCAAAAAATATCTCTAGTCTGCAAAAAGCTCTGTGTACAATAAAGAAAAAGGGAAAAAAGGAAAAAATTATGTCTTCCTTCAAAGGCTCAACAAAGAGCAACTCATCCTTTCAAGAGTAAGTCTTCCACCTTTGATACAGCTGTACTGGATAGTCTAGAATTTTTCATGTGCTTAGGAAGAGGACCCACAAATCCAAAGAGAGTTCAGGTTGGGGGAAATAATTAATTTCTATTCCTCTCCTTCAACTCCGTCAACCTCACAGGGGGAGGTGCCAGAAAACATTACTGCCCTCCCTTCCCTCAAATTAAAAAAAAAAAAAAAAAAAAAGGTAGATGAGGAGGTGAGGAGGGAAAGGGGAAACAAAGATACAGAAAGAAACTGGAGAGGGGAGGAGTAGGGACGTGGAGCTGAGAAGCAAGAAGAAAAAAGCATTTGTAAAATTAAAAGGCAGGGCCCCATCAGATTGTGTCGGGCAGGGGAAAGCGTGTCGTAGGCAGGAGTAATTGGTAATCGGAGCAGAAGTGAAGAAAGGGATGATTTATGGGAGCATGGAGACAGGGGTGGAATAATTTTTGGAGCAGAACGGGGAACTTACTGAACGCCTGAAACTCAGCTACTTATCCACTCGTTCTCGTGATAAATTAGCTCTTGTTTAAAGTAACCGGAGCTCCATTTTTCATTCTGATTACTACACTTGATATCTCTCTCTCTCCTTCTGTTTCTCTCTGACCACTGCCCCTTAGCAGGTTCTCTGAGCTGAGGCAATGGGTTTATGGAAACTCTTCACCCCTCCATTACAGTGTTCCCCCCCTGCCTTCCAATTACTGTAGGGTTAACTCTTTAAGTTGCTGTGTGTTTCTGTGAGCTGCTTAAACTCTTTCTCAGTGTTGACCTGGGCACATATGGAACATGATCCTGTGTTTATGCTATGGTGGAGGGAAGGGGTGCATGCGTGTATTTGTGTGCACACGTCAGATGCTTGCATGAATACGGATCAACCACAGTGGTATGTCGTGGCCTCTGGCATTTGCATGAGTGCTTGGTACCTTAGAAAGCAGCAACATACGTGGCCCAGTGCACATCAGGTTATTACTAGGAATGATTTATTTTGCAATGCTACCCAAAGCCACCGCCTCAGGTACAAGGTCTCACTGTTCAGTTTACCACCTAAATTCATATGAAGATTCAGGTGAGACACAACAGGTAAGACTGAAACACGTGGCAGAAAGCAGGAGCTGACATACACTGGGAGACTCACCGTAAGGAAGACCGGATGACTTAATGACAAACTCATCTAAAACACTTTTAAGAGTAAATTGTATGACGAACGAATACTAATAAATATTAACTTTCTTACTCACATCAGTTATTTTCCTAAAAGCATCAAAATACTGAAGTGGTTCACATGAAGAGATTTGAAGGAGGAAGTGCTTTCACCATTTGGCTAAGGGAAGACAAAAGACAAAGTACAAAGGGTACCAGAGGAGGCAGACCAGATAGGATTCTGCTACCAATGAGAGAAAAAGACACAGAAAGACACGTTGCTGAGAATACTGAGGATAACACAAAAACATACAAGCCAGGAACTGGCTTGTTATTGCCATTACTCTAGAACTAGGATGTAAAAAGGACAAGAGATTATTCACTGAAATTAAAAGATGACAAAGTAATTTTCCCACACACAAATAATTATCTGGTGCAATCTTCACCTCAACTGCTATTAATGTCAGGAGCTCGGCACAACTGAACCAACAATTGACCAAGCTGGTGTAAGGGCAGAGGTATCCACACCTCAGATGGTTGGTGTGGTTGTCAGCAACCCAGCCCCTCCAGAATTAGCCAATTTCTACATATGCAGGCTCAGCAGATGTGACCCCATTGACCAGCTGCTCCCATAACTGCCTCCTGCCTAAAGTCCTTGCACCTTTCCAACGTATTTTATGTCAGTCACAGCAAAAGACAAGGTATCAGGCTGGCAAAGGACACCAGGTCCGACACATCACTGCAGCATATGACCTGCTATATGGGGCAGGGCAGCCATAAAGTCTTGCTGAACAAACATACTACCTGCCCACACAGTTCACCCTTGATGGACACACTATCATACATGACAGGACACATTGGCTAAACTGCACATTCAGTTCTAGCTCTTCTGAAGGAGCCATATTCTGATCTATTTAGATCTGTTGCTACTGTCTGTCCTGCAACACATCTCGTGTTACCAACCTGAATACACTTTCCCAGGTATAGTCCAGTTAAATCACACCAAGCACATTCAAAACCAAGCTAATTCTAAAAAAGCTAAGATTAACTTAACTGAGGATTCACTTATATTTCTGTAGCTGGCAGGTAGCATAACCACACATCGGCATCTTTATGCCAGGAAAAATAAATATTACTGATAAGTACGTTTCCAAATGTGCAAACACATGTCAGCAAAATATATTCATGCTACTGCCTCTCAGTACAGTCTTTTTCATTATGGGCTTTCAATACGTATTCTACAAACAATGATCTACACGTTCAAGGAGAGCAGTCCCATCTCCACTCCACCCCTTATTTATAGTACTACAGAACTGGGTGTTACATGAACAACCTGATGGCACTGAAATCCTGCTATTACCTATGTCACTGTGAGAGACATTCTTTGAATAAGTAATTAAAACTTGTGTTATGAGGCATTTGGGAGGAAAAGTCAAAGTAAAACCAAAAATTAGGGAAAATAAAAAAAGCTGTAAGAATTGTTATTGCCAAACCAGTAGGTGGGCAGCTTGTTTGGAAACAATGGTGGACACTCTGCCTTGAAGAAGTCACAGACAGTCAAGAGCCCAGCCCTCCTGAACACATACATGAAAGTCCATAGGTTGATGAGATTCCCACAAAACTCACCAGAAATGTATCTTTGGAAGACAAGCAGGACCACCAGGTGTTACCACCATTAGTATTTTGTCAGTGATGTCCACACAGCTACATTGTGCAGGCAGGGACTGAAGATTGAGGTCCAGAGTAAAAAGAACTGCAAGAGAGGCAACAGGCAAGGACAAGGTGTACCATAAAAGGGTGAAGATAATGAACTCGCATTTTCTTTGAGGTGCGCATACTGCACATCCTCTAACCTTGAAGGGATCCCAGGGGGGTTTGGAAAGGGGATAAGGGTGGTTCACAGTTGTTAATACATTTTTATTATATATTTTATTATATTAAGTAGAGGGCAAACTGATCGCTATGACCAGACAAGGACAGGGAGATTAGCCTTACTGCAATGATGGGCAGTTTCTTACTTGGAGTCCGGACAGCTAATCTACCCACCATGTTTCAGACAACGCTCTTTATCTGTACATGGGAGCCCTATCCCATCTCTCCTTCTCCTTTGATAGAAAGCAGCTAGATTTTCGGAGATTTCAGAAAGCCAAAGTGTGTAAAGCAAATGAGCACTCTGAAAGTTTTGCTTTTACATAGCATTGTTGATGTAAGAGCATCTAGCATAGCCTCGGATAGGAAGAGTTACACCTGAGAATCCAAATCTTGTTTTTTTAAATGCACTTCAACTTCCCCAGTTTGAGGCAAAGAAGTAGAGATCTATGTTTTCAAAAGAGAGGTTCCTCAAAACTGTGGAGCAGGAAATGCAGCTATTTAAATAAATAAATAAATAATAATAATTTAGAAATCGATCTCTCAGAATTACCCTGGAGCTGTCAGATCACACAGTAAAAGACAAAAGTCAGTGAAAGGAAATGTCTATGCCTGTTCCTGAAAGTCCAGAACTGGTGGATTTCAAAGAACAGTACTCAGTTTTCCCCTACTCTGCTCAGTGTTGATGCACAAGAGCTTTACACCAAAGAATTAGAGATGTCTGTTCATCAGCTTTCACAAGTTTTTGAATACTTCAGGTTGAAAAGCATGAAGAAAGTATGTAAAAAGTGTTTTTTTTCTGGGGAGAACATTTGTTGCAGAAACACCAGGTAGGATTCTTCCATCCCTTACCACAGGCAATATGAGGACAACTAGGACAATAATCATTTTTTCTTTAAGCCAAGAGACCCCTTGTATATACTCTTCATTCCCATCTGTTATACTTGGCATTTGAGATACAGCACTTGAAAACACAAGCAGAACAAAAGCAGAAGTTTCATTTTATGGAAATTTTTGAAGTTAATGGGCCACAATCCTCACATCACAATCCTTGGCTTTTTTTCAAGGAAGTGAAGTAGATGGGACCTAAATGAGCTCTAAGGCTCAAATCCAACCTGCATGAAATTGGGCACACTTGTAGTTTTAAACTTGCATCCAGAGCAGCTTGGGTTTTGAAAAACAAACACACTTATTTTTTCCTGAAGGACTCTCTCTGCATCATGAATAAGATACCAGTTCAGCTGGGACAGTAACCCACGGTACCCGGCCATGTGGTAATAGTTACTGTGTCACTGCAAGCTGTACGCTGCAAACTGAAGGACTGCTCAATCCATGGCCTGGACTGAGCAACTCTTATTTGTAATACCTCAGTTTATCTGATAATCTAACCCAAAGGTCCACATATTGCACCTGTCTCCCTTGGTGACCAAGACAATCAAGCAGCAAATATGACACAGCCCCTCATGTACCAGCAAACTCTTCCTGGTTACCCCAGGAGTTTAGAGGAGCAAGAAAGGAAGCATTCATTACCTTTGTGGCATCCTCTTTCAGCCTTTGTCCTGCAAGCCAGCTAGAATTTAGGCGAACCTCCAGCACTCCATGGAAAGGAATAGCTGACTTATTCAGTCTGTTAGGACATCCTTACCCTACAAAGAAAAAAATATATACATTTATTGGACAGAATCAAGATTCCATGTCTCTGTTTTCTGTCCCTCTCAAGAGTTAGAGAAGTCTTTATTACTTTGTGAACAGTGAAAATTCCTCCCCATTTATCTTCAGTGCCAAGCCAACAGGGAAGAACTTCAGTAGAAACTTTTTTCTGAACAAGACCTAAAGTTCTTAGAGGTTCTTCCATGTCAGCTGGCCTTCCAGACCCTACTGGAATTCAAATAACCTACCCGATTATGCTGGGGGGGTGTTGTAAAATACCACAGGTAGAAGGGAGAGGAAGGTGGAAAGAAGAATCCTAAGATACAATGGATACATTTATTTTTTTAAGAACTATCGTTGCTCTCTTCTATGCCCCCTCCCCTGGCAAAGGTGAACTGCATATCTTTAGTTAATAATTAACTTGTCATGAGCTCCATCAATATCCCATCATCTAAGTGACAGAGGGAAGGGAGGCGATGGGGGAGGTGATCAGCACGACGTGCCAGCTCTGCCCGCAGCCTGCGATCTCGTCTCGGCCATAATAAATAGGATGAAATGCGCTCCTGATAAATGCCCATGTCATGGAGAGATTTTACCTTCACTCAGAAACAATGTAATATCTCAGCTATTACCCAAAATAATTTATCAATGTGTAATAGCTTTGTGCAGAGCTCAGATAGGAGGGGAGCAGCGCTGCCCGAGATGGATGGATCCTACCTTCTGCTTTTAATTTTTAATGCTCGTAGGCAGCTTCACATTAAAGGCCAGGTGTCATATATAGACTTAATGTAAGAATGGAGTTCATGAATTCTAATCAGGAGAGAATCTCCCTCTCTCTTCTCTTGCTTTAGTCAGTTCTCTTTTTTTTTTTTTTTATTTATCAATTTTCCTCTCTTTCTATATTCCCATTTTCTTTGCCTCTCTCTTCTGGTCTGTTTCTCCTCCTGTTCTTCATCTAAATTTTACTCCATTTCTGTAACAAAACCATTCTGGTAGCTTTTTGCCACTTCATGTCCCAAAACTGTCCCGTCACTTAAGAACAAGAAAGAAGAACTGATGTATTTCAGCCTTGGTCCTTGTGTCATCATTTGCACCTCGCAGAACAAATTCAACACATACCAAGCCAGAATAAAGATCTGGGGAAAAAAAAATACAGTAACAATCAAGAATGGAAAAATCCAAACCGTGGACATCAAAATTCATAGTGGAATTGTGTCACTGAAAAGATCTTGGCTGTAAATGGCCCATGGAGAAACTTCGTTCCTTTTCCCAGCCAAATCCCATTCCTTTGCAAAACCTCTTTCTTTAATTTGCAAGAGACAGCACTGGGACACATATGGATCCAAAAAAGAGACCCTGGGGCGTCTTTTCGTAACATTTCTGGTCTTCTTATAGCCATGTCAGCAATATGAATGTTCTCCTCTTCACTTTCAACATAATGCATGGAAAAATAGTTGGGGTTCACCTATTCTGGGCCTCTGTCAGAGGGACCTGTTCATGGACCCCTGTATGTAAAATACAGTTTTTTACATACAGCAGTATGTAAAATCTCTAGTGCAGTCTACCGGACAATGCCAGGAAGTTCTATCATTAAGAACACACCATTAGGGCTCCCTCAGAAATACCATTACTGTATCAATACACTACATCAAAGTATGACATACTGTCTGGGTGAGACACCTGCAAGCAACAGCAGCGCACGACAGCACTTCTGAGCTCTGCATAAAGAATGAAGCTGTAGGAAGGAAGGGGGGAGAACCACTTACTGTCCACAAGGTGCAGCAGGAGACAATAAGGCAGTTCATACAAGCAGCAGATACAAAGATCATGGAAGAGACTGCAAAAATGAAACAATAGGCAACAGCTTTCGTTTGCAATCAGATGTGAAGGACAGCAAGAGGCACTCCAAGGCAATACTGCCCACAGGAGGAGCACTAATACGTCTGCAAACCCTTTCACAACCACTTTGCTGACTTCCAAGTTATGAAGACACCAGTGCTGAGAGGAGTTTGGGCTTGATTTCCTGCTTTCTGTTGACATAGGTAACATAAACTGTCATCTGACATCCACCTCTAAGGGCAGCTCTTTGTCAATGAATTCTCTCTCTTTTCCTCACCATTCACACATCTCTCTCCAGAGCATAAAGAACTTACGACAGACTCTCCTCCATTTATTCCCATGTGGTATTTAACATCTTCCTCAGCCTGTCAAAGCAACACAGCAGAGTTCTGTTCTCAAGCACCAAGTTCTCTAAAAGTCCATAGGAAATTTTCCTTTCTTGTTTCTTACCTTCTGCAAGGATTACTCTAAGAACATTCCTATGCTTTCAGCTTACTTCCCAACTCTGCATGTAACATGGTTCTGGAGGGCAGATATATATCAGCAAACAGAACTATATCGTGCAAGCAGTATGCCCAAAACTTCATTGGCTTCATGTTGCATCTTGCCAGGTGAATGGTCTTCCTCAAAGGAAGAGAAAGGCTGGTAGTCCACTCAGGAAAATCCACTCTGCACACTAAGAAGCCAAATCTATAGAACAGGTTAAAAATGAGGTTGAGGAAAAAGTCATTGCACGATCAAGAAAAGACAAGACTTGCCTTTGTATTCAACTTTGCAGATGTCAGATTAAGAGATGACAAATCTTTAAACAGCAGAGCTGAAAAATAGGAGGGTGAGAAGTTGTATTGGTGGGCCATAGCATGGTACTTCAAGGTACAGGGATGTGTGGCTGTTAGCAGGCTGAATCTTTGGAAACTTCAGGCTCTCTGTGAAGATCTCCAGTTTTTCTAGGAACACTTTGCAAAGATTGAGTGCTCATGCCTCACGAAGCAGGTTTTGCTTCTGTCTCAGTATAGCTGTAGCACTGCAAAGGCAAGGCACTAGCATCCCCTGGTGCAGCAGCTTTAGGATATCCTCTGTGATACACACTTATCTGAACTAATAAGGAAGAGAGATGTTGTTTGAAGACAGACAGAAAGATAGCCTTACCTTCCCTGAATACCACCACTTAGTGGCTTTGGCCTGGCTCCAAGCCAGGAGGAGAGCAGCATGCCCTTGTCTGTGCTGAATGAAAGCCCCAGTGCCAGCTGCCAAACAGCCTCAGGCAGACAGTGACTCCACAAGCCAAACTGAGAACTCTAAACTCATTCACTCGTGGTCCAAGATCCTTCCTAACCCTGGGGGGTTGTGGTAGAGGAAAAAAAAAAAAAGAAAGACATCCCTCAGGTAACAGTCCCTTGCATCACACAGGTTGAGCCTAATAAGGGTCTATTGCTGTCTCATTCCATTGCTAACACTGTGACTCTAACTGCCGTGTACTACAAATTAATTCATTCCTTCAGGCCTTGCTGTTCAGTAACTGGCTGTCACAGCAATCTCCCGAGGAGCTAATTGAGAGTTGTGATCCGTGCAGTATTTCCATTAGTGCTGTAATGACAGGCAGCCAGACACACACACATGCATGCACACACACACAGAGCACAGGTTCCTCTGTCCCCACAAAGGGAAGCAGATAAAAAGCCAGAGCCATTTCAAGTGTTAAGCAGCAGCTGGGGGAAATGGAAAACCAGAGGAACAATTTCCATGATCCAGGCTGAGGTCACCCAAACTTTGTCTGAATGAGAACAATTTGCTGGGAGCTCTAAACAAGCTCTTAATTCACTCTAGTGGAGTAAAATCCCTGACATCCTCTTCTTCTGTACGGTGGTACTGTCCCAGAGACTACAAATCCCAGCAAGTTACCTCTATTTGAGAAGCTTTCCTCATTGCATTGTGGGACCTGTAGTCTCCAGATAGATGCATCTTTAATAGGGATGATTGCAGTCATAGTTGTGTGTGGCACTGTCGAAGCATTCAAGACAATAAGCGATATTAGAGAGTCTTACAGGTTCTGCTTAGCAAGATGTCGAGGTGTTAATTAGGGAAGAACATTATTTGATCAGTTATAGTGCAACTCACTCAGGAATCTCAGACATGAAGTCTGTTTATGATTCTAGTCTCTTGATTTGTTTATCCTTTCATGACTAGTTTTCAGAGGATTAATTAGCAGGAAAACATTAAACTGTACCACCATTGGTAAAGACTTAGCCATCTTAAAGGACATATTTCAGGTCCTGTCTGCATGCATATATCCTCGTGGTTCTCTGGTCTGAGAGAGCGGACACCTATCAAGCAAAGCACATGAAATTCTGTGCTGCCACTGATGATAATTTAGCAGGGGTCAGTTAGAATGTGAGAAACCTTTGGTCTCTTTGGCATTTGTCCACTTTCTTGAACTAGTTCTGGAATTAACCCTACCAGTATCTGAGGCCTTGTCTGCATACACACAGATGTGAATCCATTTAATTTAAATTACTTGGTAGTCAGCCAAATTGATGCAGACTAGTTCAGCAGACACTTCTCGCAGTGAGTGCTTCACTAATTTCAAAGCTGTGATCGGTTTCATTGTAAATTAAATAGTTTCAAAGTTCATTGACAATGGGAAACCAAATCACAACAATTATTTTGAGTGACAATGAATGAATCCTTCAAAAACGTAGTTCTATTATCAGACTTTTTAGCCTTGAGAAAGGAAAAAAATAGAAAGAAAAAATAGAAAGTATTTAAAGTTTCTCTAGTAATTAAAATTATGTGACATTTTAAGTATCTACGCAAAGCAGGATGCATTTGCAAGCTAATTGTTTAAAAGAAATCCACGCAATTATGCTATCAGTCAGACAGATTTAAGCCAACATTTCCAGTCACCCTTAAATTTAGACTGTTGCATTGGCAGAGGTGTCTCAGGTAGCCATGCACGAGGAGGTAGCTCCTGCTCTCAGCAAGGTGAAGATATCCTCACTTGGACAGGGACTGCTCTCACAGAGACCCAGGTTTCCAACAGCAGCTCTCTAGCAAGGGAATGAGCAGCAGGTTCTTCACAGCATTGCAGAAGACACCACGTGCTGCTCTGACTATCACTGCAGTCTGGCTTTATAAAAATACCTAGGGAAGATACCTATTCAAGGTCTACTAGCAGCCTTCAGGGCTCAGATAGAGGATTAAGTTACTGAGGCTTAAGAAGTCATGGCATATAATCTTAGCCTGGTAATTGAACGCATGCATGCTCCTGGCATGCGATAAATGCAAGGTCATTTGACTTAACCTAGGAGAGGACAGCATTAAGTGGAATTACCCCATGTCAGCTGCAGGCTAGTTGTGCACACAACTCTGTTAGCACAGCTCAGCAGATACACAGCAATTTGTTCGGCTGTACTAAATGCTACTGCATGTACAAGCCCTGATTCTGCCCTCTTGTGACAGTATGACAGGAAAATAAAGTTCTTTTAAAAGTCAGATGAATTTGACACAGGAAACAAAAACAAATTCAAAATATTTCACAATGGTGAAGTGCCCCTGGAAAGTGGGTTAAAGTAGGATATTCTGAGATATCCATGTAGTCTTGGCTTCCCTGTATATATCTGTCTTTCCTGTGTATAATTAGGATTTTCCAATCTCAGAGGGACACAGCGGAAGGCAAGGTATTGGGTGTGTCTGCCTCTTCTGTGCACAACCAAACTGAAAGCTCACAGCACACCAAGAACAGACCCTACCAGCACCCCTGACTAACCTGTGAAAAAGGACAAGAGGGTGTCAATGAATGAAGTTACAAAAGCCCAGGGGTGGACAAGATCCTGGAGCGGTCCACACAGCCGGTTAGAATATGGTGTGTCCTGCAACTTTGTTTCTGGAATCGTTCAAGGTATGCCCAAGGAATACGCCTAAGCAGACATAAAGCTCTCTCTGTTATTGATGTTGGGAAAGCTACGGCATAAATGGAAAAGGCCATGAGTTATGACCAATAACTTCATTGTTACAGAAATATTATGTGCCACAGAGTAGCTTCGGCTTCTGTGCATAGCGTCAGAGATGCCTTTTCCCTTAAAATGGGATAACAGATGGATTCAGCAGAGGGGTGGAGGTAAAATGAAGACATACAAGTAGTGATTTATTCCAGACCGATTACTTGGAAGGAGTTTCCAAAAAGCAGTTACAGATCTAGCGAAAATGACATGTATTTCAACACAAATTGATCTCTTCATAGCTCTGCCATGCTGGCACAGTGGTGCACACACATTTGCATTGGTAACAGCATGACAGGATAACCCCAAACAATATGAATCAAATCCCAGTGGCTGTACTATGTGAAAGAAGCCCTTGTTCATGTCAGCTTTTGACATCTTCATGGTCTCCATGCACAGCATGATTTGGGGATCTGACTGTTTTGCTGCCTGCAGGCCTCAGTGCCTGTTTCCTGCAACAGAATCCTGTCAACACTTCACCAGTTTTTCCAGTGTCTCCACCAATGCATGAATTTTTTTGCTTCTAGAGGAAGGCTTCACGCCTATCAAGCTTTCAATGCTCACCGTTCAGTTCAATCATTACTGATACACCTCACACTGACTTCTCTGGAGACAAGCTAACGTGGAGATGCAACCAAGTCACCAGCTTCTGCTATGGCTAACCTAGGCTGCCCCCGAGGTGAAGTAAAAATTACCTTTCTCAGCTAAGGAGGTCCTGGCAGTTAGTGTTAGGTGGAGGACAGCTGTCTATTTGCGCATGGGTCTGCTGTTCCTGTGAGAATTGTGAGAGAGGAGGAGCTGTCCCAAAGGAAGCAGTGAGCTCACCAGGTTATTTTGAAAGACCTGTTGGGGGATATCTAGTCCAGTCATGAAAGGAGACTATTACCACCCCTAGAACATGTCAACTGTGCCTTTGCCTTGGAAATTTCCAGGAATGGAAGTTCCTACCACATCTCTGGGTAACGTGTTTCACCACAGCACAGGTCTCCTAGGAAGTTTTACCTGCGCCTAATTTGAATATCCGAAGACACATTGTCTGCTACTGGGCACAGCTGACAGACATCCTATCTGGACTATTCTAAAAATGGTAAGCATAAAATGAGAAATGCAACATTTGGAAACAGGCTCACAAAAACAGCACACAAATGCATTTCTTATGCTACCTGAAATTCAGCACTAACTACAGGAACTCCTTCAGGACTTCTATTTTAAAAAGCTCTCTCAGTCAGCAGAACTGAAGAAAGATTATGGTAGTCTGATACTCCCTCTGACAGAATAAAGCTGCATGAAAACAATCAAGAAGACATTAAACAAGGTCTGACTGCAAGCCCAGCTTCTGTGGCATTCTCTATTCGGTAGGGCAGTTGACAGAGCAGGGACTTCAGTCTCTGATTATGGCCCTGTTTTTGCTGCTCAGTTCTCCAAGGTAGTTATCAAGTGCAAATAAGCTCACATGGGGACACTTACCTCCTCTAATCCTTATTAATGTCACTGAAACTCATCATTAGCTAGGTGTTTGAGGGCAGTTCATACACATGTAACCGTCTATGAGGAAATGCCTATTGGTAAAAAGTGATTGGTAAAAGGTGATTCAGGAGCCTATTAGGTTTTCACCAAGCTGCACTCTTCTACCAGAATGCCTTGAACATGTGTTAGCACTGTCCTGGAAACAGATCTACATTTGTCCTGAATCTAAAAAAACAGCAGACAGCTAAGCACCACACAGCTATTCACTCACTTCCCCCAAAATAGGATGGGAGAGAAAAGTGGAAAAGCTAAAGTGTGAGAACTTGTTAGTTGAGATTAGGGAAGTTTAATAAGAAAGAAAGAAAATACAAATATAATAATAATAATAATAATAATAATAATAATAATAATAATAATAATAATAATAATAATAATGTGCTGCATAATGCATTTGCTGACCCTAGCCAACCAATGCCCAGCCAGTCCCCAAACAACAGCAGCCCCACTGGCCAAGCACTCTTGCTTTTATTGCTGAGCAAGAAGACACCATATGGTATGGGATATCTCTTTGGCCAGTCTGTCTTGGCTGTCTTGATGTGCCACCTCCCAGCTCCTGCTGCACCCCCAGCCTCCTTGCTGGCAGGGCAGCAAGAGAAGCAGAAAAGTCCTTGACTCAGTGTAAGCACTGCTCTGCAAAAACTAAAATACTGGTGTGTTACTGATATCCTAAAACACAGCAGCATGCCAGCTATGATGAAGAAAATCATCTCCGTCCCATATGAAATCAGAAGACCCATTCACACTCCACAGGTAATCTGCTTTCTCCCTTCCACCTGTTCGAGTTTCCACTCTGCCCAAGCAT